TGTCTAACACGAAAGGGTGCGTTCACGTGTGTGGTTGCCTATCTTTGCAATCCTCCCTCTCATGCAGTCTTGCTCTAGTGTGTGAATGAGCTATTAATGTAATCGGACTCAGACACGGCGCGAAAACATCGATTCAGCAAGCTGTCATTCCACGGGAATCACTGCTCGGCAAGATGCAGCCGACAACATAAAACGAAGTCCCATGAAAAATCGCAAACATGAATAAATTTGTGCAAGTCACGCACTCATGGGCTTGCTGTGGTGCTTTCTTCTATCACTGTAGAAAGAACAGGCATTGTCAACGATTTGGCGATGAAACCATCGCGCGACGAATGACGCATTCGCGACACTATCCACCGCGACTTGCTCTGCCACCGTCGCTCTATGTCTGGATCATAATCAGTGGCGAGACGAATGTCAGCTGATGTGTGGAAGTGGCGACTGCGTATCTTTGCAAATTCGACTTGCTTCGGGCAATTGAGTTTCCGGATGTGACACCCGCAGCGTGTCTGGCCTTGAAGTTCCATTTCTCCTACGCAGGAACTGAAAGGCTGACGCTTCGCAAACACCCGTCCCGCTGAGTCCTATTTGCACGAAAATTCGTGATTTACTCCACCAACTCTTCATGTTCTTCGCCCTGTAACGTTTTCTGTTGTATCAGTTTCGCTTGCGCTTAATATAAATATTTTACTCAACGGGCAATCTTTTATCCCTTTTTAAAGTGGGCTAACGCAATATCAGCAGCAGCAGCAGCATTCATTCCTAGAATATAGGCCGCAAGAAAAAATATCTGAAGAAAAAATTGCTGGACTTGGCGAATGTGTTCAAATCACCTTGCTACAGCATCAACGCACCTCTGCGTAAATTTGCGTTAGCAGCAACAAATTTGGTAACTTGAAAGGCGTCCGCGTGTTCGCTTTCGTAGCTCAGAACTCTCATTCTAAACACGCATGCTTGCATGTACGCGCACACACACTCATCGACAATAACCTCACTAGCTTGTACGGGCAAGATATCCGTAGCCTATGCCAATGCCAATTGGACACTCATTGCACAATTGACAAACCTATAAATTGCTGAGATCTGCGAGCAAACTCACAGTCTCAATTTTAGTTGGAATATTAAGCGCAGTCTTGTAATTGTGCGCACATTCTTTTCTAAGAGTTGATGCTCATGATTTAATCCACAAGCTATTGTGTAGAATTTTATTACTTTTGTTCGTTAAATGTGGCTATATGCAGCGGTGACGGCGTCCTCTTGCTTAATTGAATGTCTACTGGTGTGTGGATGTTTCGGCTGCGTGTCCTGCGATTGCGGTTGATGTGAGGACTTAAGCGCGAGCTGTTGTTTGAAAATGTCCGAGACTAGAATGCTGAGCTGTGTTGGCCACGTGTCGTGTGATACTGGAGGTTGAGCTACTGAATTTCACACAGCACTGCATTTCACCTTGAATTTTGATTTCTCCACCCCAGCAACTGATAGCTGAAGCCCTGCATGCACTCTCGCTACGCGAACTGACCCTCACGGAACTTTCCGCTATGACCTGCTCTGCACGAAATTTTGTCGATCGTGCTTGTTGGGCTTGTTCTTCTCCTTGCCTACCCTCCTTTTTTGTTATCTTCCACCTCCTATTCTGTCAAATCACTTTTACTTGCATTTTATGTAAATGTTCAGATCAGCAAGCAACCACCCAGTCTCTTTTTTTAAATTGGCTGATGCAACACAAGCACTAGCAGTGGCATTCATTGCGGGAATGCAAGGAGATGTGAGCTGGTTTTAAGTGACTGGGCGCCCAGCACTAGATTTGTAAATTATATAGTGGTCTGTTTAAAGGCGTGGCGGTGACAACATTGATGCCTGGAGCACTGCATACTTAGGTCAAAGTTCACCGTCTACTAACATCTTGCAGTAACACTATGAACGTTAAGCGTGTGACTTTTGAACCGCAATTATTGCTCACGACACCTTACTTGCCGCTCAGGACAAATGCTGGGGAATTAAATGAATATGCGTTTCACATCAGTCTACATAACAGAACTGTCGTAGAACAAAGCTCCTTTGGTTCTCCCGTTAGATGTTTGAGAAACAGCCATAGCTTTCTCAAGACTCACGATGTCAGTGGTTCAGCCCTACAATCCCAATTGCTTTACTAATTCACGCACAAAACACCACATGGAATCGCCTTCAAGCTCACTGTAATAACCAATGTAAGGGTCGCTTCGGCTGTTCTACCTACCCCAAAATTTAAAGAACGAGGTCCCAAAATAATCCCTATTGATACACCGGGATATTTGATGCATCACTGACTTACTGTATGATGGATTAACTGAATAGAGGCTAATAACACGATTTAAGCACTGACGTGGCAAACAAGCGGTAGACGAACGCGAGTCGCAGCTTCCGCATTCCAGGGAAACGAAAGACACGCTACGGCAACAGTCAACCCTTGGACAAGTGGCGATGCATATCTTCGTTTGACAATTAATTATTGCCACCACCTGCATTTCATCCATGTTGGCATGACACGGTATCATGTTTGCATGAAAAAAGCAATGTGGTAGGTGAGGGACTCAATCGGTTACTAGATAAATCATGCCTGTTGACGGTTCTGTGTGTCGTGTATGACTCATGGAGGTTCCGATTAATCTGGCTTTGGGGACTGGTGAGAGAACAGGTTGTTGGGTGACCTCTTGTGCGTAGCGTGAGTGGAGGACATGGCTGACCCAAAAGCGACCAAATGACCTCGTCTACTGTTTTAGGTTAGACAAACATGGGAATTTGCTTAATTGTTGCCATGTCATTTTGTGCAAGCAGTATTAGGTATTGTAGTGAATCGTGTTGATTCACGTCCAATAACCCTGTACTCACAGCTTCCAGCACACGTCCCGCATTTTCACGTGAGACCGCTGGTTCATTAATCCCTCTGAATGTACCACAACCACCACCAACCGCTTTGGCCATGTGACCTCACAAACGCCTGTGTTCATTTTACATGTCCACCCAACTGTAAAAGCACACGGACACAACATTGTTGAATTACCTAGTAAACGGTCGTGCCTACCACCTCTGGACTTATTGTCTTCCCGGGTTACTCTCGTGTCAAAAAGTCTTCAACGGCTTAACAGTGAATGATCTTAAATAAATGAACCGCTGTTTCGAGCCTTAATGACACTTTCATGTAAATGAAGGGCGAGTTTAGCGAAAAAACTAACTTCACTAATTGCTGTCAAAGAATGTTTAAATTTATTTTGTGCCATGTCTTTCTTAAATTAATTAACGCCAGATAAATGATGGCATTATAGTCTCACACCCGAAACTGATGTTACAATAGAACACTTGAATTATCTATCAGATCGGTAGGAATTATAGACTGTTTCTGGTCAAGCTAGGTACCGGTCATGCCAATGTCCGTGTCTGCTTTGGCGTGCAGTTGTAATCGTCTGTCTACTGACCTAAGAAGCCTATTTTTCGGCAACTTCTCCGTTTCGTGGAAAGCAGGCTTCTGATAGTCATCTGATAAGCGAAACATATCTCATTAAAATATGCAACTCATTTATGAGCGTCAGGTAGCCATGGCCGAAGCTCACCACGAGCTACAAGTTTCGAGACATTCGAGGAGAGTACATTTACTTAAATATATTTTAAAATTTTTCAACCTTAAAAGTACATAAAACTTGGGAAAATCGAATGTTGCTCATCCAGCTAAAGCCAACACACGTGTGCACAGGGAATCAGAACAATGAGTAAACAGGAGACCAAGGGGGTAGGTTAAGTCTACAAAAAGAACATGCGATTCCGCTGATCAGTGTTCAGTCTGAATCGATTTAGCTCATCGAGTAACTGGTCGTTGGGGCCCGAGTCCTTCAGCCAATCGCGAGCGCGGAAGGCAGCCAGGTGTGCGTAAAATGTGGGTGCAGGGTAAGACACACTGCGGCAACAACGCATGTACGCGTGACACAGGTAGTAGGTGAAAAGTTGTAAATCATCTGCCGCCCAATCGTTATCGTCATAGAGCATATGGTAGTGCACCGGCTTCGAAGTTCCCTACAGCATTCACAAACAACTCAACACTTATCCATAATAGCTAACATATTCAAATGCCTAGATATTTCACCGTCACACAGCCTCGTTAACAGTCCGTCCGACCTACGTTTACTTGGCCTGTCATCTGTCTACAACACCAATAGACCGTAATTCCACTCTGGAAGATGCGGTAGTGTGCAGGTCAAATTCTTGCATGCTTAGAAGACGCTGAATCAAGGTTTAACATCGCACAACCCATCGCACAAGACGATTTGCTAAATATCTTAATTGACTACAATTCAATTCTTTAAAAGGACGTTAATCTGCAGGCTACGGCTCAACCAGAATGTCGCTTCCTGCTGACGCTCCTAAGCAAACCCCATACAACTCCGCATTAATAGGCACTTTTATAAAGTGAAACAGTTTAATTGACCGATGATTACGTAGTGATGGGAAGCAAAACTGAATGCGAGTGTTAACGTAGTGATCAGATTCTCCTACGACAATTTACCAATCACATTGCGCTCGCATTTATCCATGAGGACGCAACACTCCAAGTATTACATGTCAATATGATGGCGGTAAATAACGGCACACGATGTGCAGACAGCATCAAAGATTCTGTGTTCGTTAATATTGCTTTCTCGAAAGTGACCACGCACCACGGATTAACATGTGTTGATAGCCGCTTTCAGGTTCATGAAATAGCATCGAACAGGCTGACCAAGGCCGACAGCATTCAAGGGCCAAATGTAACATCAGGAGAACCGAGCACTCCTCTGCACATTGTGATCACCAAACAACAAGCACATAACCCGATATATCGTAGGGAAAGAGAATCCATTACTTTCAGTAACCATTTATGACACATCAGTCAAATTCAATTTGCCTCCAAACGAGTCTTTGTTACACTACTTTCACTGTTTTTTACTTTGAGTACTGTTTGCATATATATTTTTAGACGAACAAAAGTGTACCATGTGGCCAATTGCACATCTAAAAGTAGATTTCAGACGTATTTTTGTAATCAAAGTGTAAAAAATAACTCACCTGAATGCCTTCATGTGAACAGAGGTAGAAATCGTGTTCACGTTTATGTGTGATTTGCGTATCTACCACTGTGCCTGCGTTGACGTTCCTCGCTCTGCACGAAAAATCATCTCTGTGTTAAGAAGTGATGCCCTTATTAAAGTGAATTTCTGCGCTGCTACTCAGCACAAGTAAAACGCAGGAATAAATCTAGGCGGAAATCCGCAGATAGGTAGAGTACATTTAAAGAACCCGCCTTTGCAAAGACCCAAGATATTGTGACTGCACAAACGCAATGCGGTAAGCCATTCTAAATTTGCGACAGCTAGCTACGGTTTACACGTGACTGGCCACCGCGACTAGTCCTGGGTCACTGGGCTTTGACCACAATGCTCATCACCACTCCGATTCCACGCAGTGAGCCTGCGCAACTAAACGAATCCGAAACTCAACGACAACTACCTCTATGATCACGTCTGGGACACAGGTCCTAGCTACTACAGTCAAAATGAGGGTCAACTTGGCCACATTACCATTTTAAACGCTGAAAAGGCACTTAACTTCTTCATTTACACACGACACTTAGGAATCAATCATGGTTCCTTAGCATCTGCTAGAAGATCTTATGCCATCGCATAAGCTGCAAAAAATTCCCTCAAAAACCGCCTTCAATTCTCGTCACTTGCAAATTCCAACACAATGCGATTACTCCGTTTTGTCATAGATCAGTACAAGTTAGCACTACAAGGTGGTCTATGACAATGTCAACGAAAAAAACTGTCGTCCAAGCTTAAGAAGGACGGTCCGAGCTCCCACAGTGTTCTGAGTCAACTTTAACAAAATACGTGTCTTACTTCAAATCGGTCGGTTTGAATCGGATGTGGTGGCGTTTCTGCACCACGATAAATGTGATGCCGGGCTCGTAACCCTGTTGCACAGCGTAGCACGCCTTTTGAATTGCCAACAGTTCCTCCATCAGCACAGTCTGAAACTGGCCTTCAGATACGCCGTCTCGATAGAAGATTAGTTTAGTTGGCAGTCGACGGTTTTTCTCAGAAAATACCTGAACACGGATTCACTCACAACAGTAACAGGAATGGATTGTATGAGCAAAAGTCATTTGAACAAAGTCACACACACACACACCCATGTACATTGTGCACCTTTGTCATGTTCATTTCATTCATTTAACTTCTTTCCATGAACGCATTTCTTTAAATTCTGAACCAGCTTCATTATGCTGGCACTGATGAGACCTCTCTCAATAGACAATGGCATCCCATTAGCAAGCTACTCACTTTCTGCTACTTTACCTTGTTTATGTTTACTCAGCTTTCACTTACTTTCACTAGTGAGCAGAAAAAGCATCAATAGTAGAGGCTCCAAGCTCACCGTCAGTAAATCCCTAGTAATAACATCCATGGCGTCAATCACCTCCCGAGTGGCTTTGTCTTTATGCAATGTAGTGTTCTGCTGTCGCACGATGGCCACATATCGCATCAGATCTGGCGTAATTGACGCGATGACAGACGCGACAGATTTGTTGACCTCCCTGTTGTCACCAGTCGGAGCAGGGTGGGTCACATCAGCACCCATCACCATCATCAACTCGTCGTCGTTCGTTGCTACTTTGGGCATCAAGCTGTTCACCAACCAATTCGTGCCACCCAATTTCCCATTTATCTTCAACATTAAGTTGCCTGATTGACGCACGCGGGAACCGAAAGAAAAAAGAAGTGGCATTAATTTCAAAAGGCCCACCAAACAAGTCACTGAATTCCTTAACTCCAATGTAATTTACTAATCCAGATTATTCATCAATCCTCAATCAACCCTCGCAATCCAATCACAACTGCTTATGACAGCCGCAATCAACAATCTCCAATAATGCACGTGGATCTCTCCCCACAAGTCAAAGCTAGACGATAATGAGACAGTAAATTTGCCACCTGAAGTAGCCAACGAGTGCCCTTCTTTACAAATGTCAGTCACGACTGCTCCATCCATCAAACCCTACACTTCAATCTATTCATCACTTAACATCCACATTCCAAAAGTTCGTTTCTTGTAGATCACCCGGAACAACAACAACTCTCAACACTCCAAACTTTCAGTAACACAACAAAGCAAAAATCACAATTGATGACCGTGTAAATACCTACTTCTATCACGGGTATCGGGCGTACACGCGTGGCATGAAAGCGTGTTGCTGCTATTTTAGCTAAATATTTCAGTCTTGCTCTTGAACGCACAGAATCCCCATCATCCACTCTCAACACTCCAAACCACCAGTAACACAACAAGTATAGAACGTAAAAGTATAGAATTCACAAGTAAACATTTGGTCAAAACGGAGTGTCAAAATGCCAATCGATTGATTAAGCTAAGGAAATGGCTCAAACTTACGGAACACGCTTGGTTTTCCCAATGTCCGTAGCCTAAGGCACTGCGTTACCATTCCCGTGTACAGGTCACCAAGGCGCTTTATTTGAGGATATTCGTTGTTTCCACTCAACACGAAAATCATCAGATGCACGCCCTACAGCCACAAAACACGCGTCATTCGCACACATTGAATTCATGTTCAAATACCACCGACTTGCTCAAATGTGCTTTTTTCGAAACAGCGAACTTCTAATATTACATCTGGTGTCTGGTTCGTTGTCAGCTGGGTCCTAATGGCATTGAATTGAACTGACACACGTCTTGCTCAAAAACCAGCTCAACAACCAGTCTCAGTGTCCTTGCCTATGCGCACTGCATATTCAACTTCGTTCTGTCTGGAACACTTTTTCACCAATTGATTGGAGTAGTCACCGTGATCAGGGAGTCCTGCAACGTTTCCTAATTAGGCCAAATTCAGCCTTGAATATTTTGTGTGCAAAGCACCTTTGCGAAAGCCCGAAATAAAGATGGGTTGAACAATTTACAATTAGATGAAAGGCAAGTTAAAAGGAGACGCATGCACTCACGTTCCTCTTGCATTCATCAAACTTAAGTTTGAGGGCGGCAGGCATGATCTGATCTGCGGCAAAAGGATTGGCGTCAAACTTCATGCCACATTCGTAGGCGGCACGTGAAATATCGACCCTCACGTCATGTATTTTGCGACCAGCAGTCTGAAAAATTACAGAAATTTCCCCAATCTAACTTACTCAATTCAAATAACGAATAACATGACTACAAGACACTAACTTCTACGATGACGGGTTCAAAATGAGGCACATGAATAAATCATCTCCTAGATTTCGCTCCTCCTTCTTCTGCATTAATCTCTAGCTAAGATTTGCCACGTAGTTTCTATTGTGGGCTCAGGTTCACCTGACTTGTGGCCAAACACACAGAACATAGATGTCTGTCACAAATTTCTACAATTACTGGCTTTCTATAACTCATTAAAATTTTCAGTTACATCATATTTATTCTCGTTCACGTTTCCTTATATAATGATGATATTAGCAAATAACAAAAAAACAACATCGGTATTTGTTTCTAATAGCCACCGCCTATTATCCAACTTACTGACGGATCAAGGATTTCCGCACTATTTCCACTAAACTTAATTAATATCCCCTTTAAGAAAATCTTGTCAACCCGCAAGCTAGCATATTACAGACAGCCAACGTTCCACCACGTAACTCGCGGACTCACGTCCGAAGGCGGCGTAAAGAAGACAGCCCATTTCACTTTCTCAGATGCAGGGCGGTAGAATGGCTTGTGGTTCCATTTGCCCCTGCTGAGACGTTCTGGTGAATCCCTGAACTGTCCCGTTGGCTGTGGTAGTTCTCGCGCATCCACAGTTATGGGCTGTGGACTTGTGAATTTCAGCTGCATTCGTGAGAGCAGTTCGTCTTTTCTTCAATCAACAAACACAAGTTGGTGCAATTATCAATCCCCGTGAAATACAATCGACCTACGTGCTTAGATGTGAACAGTTCTGGCATTTAATCACACTTGTCAAAATTTAGGTTGAAGGCTGACGCAAATGTACAAGGCAACTTAGTTTAACCGAACCACTCACCTGAATAAAACTGACCCACTGGTGCCAACCGCACCCCCAAGTAAATCGGATTATTCCAAAGCACAATACCCGTAAAGGTCTTGTCAATTGTGCTTACCATAAATTGAGGGGATAATAAGATTTGTCAGTTTTTTTGGAATTTAAGAAACAACGATAACGCACTTTTTCATAAATGCACTGACGTGTTCCTCCAGTTTCTTGAATCGTTCACAGGGTCTCACAGCGGCGCAACGAATAAGAGCACTTGCGACGTCGCCTCGGTCTGCAGGAGGAGTTTGATGTGGCAAAACACTTAACAATTCCATGGGAATATACTCGTCTTTGTCACTTTTTGTCTAGTGAGAACAGAAACACATGCCAGACATTACGAGGGCCTAGAACCCGTTAAGATAAAATGCACGCACCCACGCACCAATTCATGTTTACTTTTTTGAAAATGGCCTGAAGCGCACATAAGTCATGCAGTCAGTGCACAATAATACGGATTCACTGTCAACATTTTCAATTCAACTTACACATTTGTATAGCAAATTTACTCAGACACAGTTATCTTCATGTCCTGAAATGTGAAAGCGTGTGCTCAACAGGTAAACCAGCAATTGCTTCACCTCTTGAATGACATTAAGCCCTAAAATCCCATCCATGCATACACCACAGATTTGCCAGTGTTACAGTTGGTCAAACAATGGTTCGCCTCAATTAATGCATTCGGCAAATCTGGTGTTGTCTTGACGATTACTCGTGCGCTATATTTTTTCGAAGCTACAACAGTCCATTACCAAATAACATGGCACAGCATATTTAAACCTCCTCTTTCTTGTGACACAGTGCAGCACAATTGCCTCAACTCATATTTGGACAAATGCGGCAGTCGCAACTTGGCCTCACTGCCGATGCTCATTTTTAATTAGCACTGCAAATTAGCCAATACATCGTACCACATTTGTCGAACTCTGCTGCCGGCAACCACAGAACAAGCCCAGATTCAATACGATGATAATTGCCAATCGTGTGAAAATATTTGACATCATCAAAATACGAATAGCCTGAATGCAGTTTGTGAATGGAATGTGCACACTTGAGCATTTGCATGCACGCTTGTAATAATGACCAGCACTTCTAACTGAGGTGTCAGTCACCATGCTTTCAAATCCGCACACAGCACTCACAAAATATGTCAAACTGCATTAGATTTCATAGAAAGCAGAACTGGAGTCCAAGTAACCTGGACAGGCAGACGCCGTCTGTCCAGAATGCAATGCATGTTGCTGTAATGTCAGAAGTTTGATTCACTGCACACAAATAAACGCACTAACCTTCACACATGGGAGTTTTGGGTATTTCAGCTCTATGCCGTGCTGCCTTTTGAAGTATTCCTCTATGCTAATCTGCAGCTCTGGTATCGTCTGCTCCCTGGCGCATTTCGGAGAAAGACCAAACACCGTCAGCTTTCTTTTGTATTTTTGACCTGAAAGTTTCAGGCAACGTAGTTATGCTCCGTATACGCAAAATTGGAGCTCACTTGTGAAATATCATGGATGCAACTAGAAGTCACGCACACGTAGAACATGTTTATTAGAATTCACCTTCTAACGCTGCCTAGACATATAGGAAAGAAACGCATGCCATTCTGGCAATTCAATCACAAATTCACACATTCTCAACGCCAGAAGACCTAAGCGAATGTTTGATTTTATTAATGAATGCTCAGCTATAGTGATATCCTGATCAACACAATGATAAGGGACGACTATGGGCTAAGTCAACAATGCCTAGACACTGGAGATCCAGTGATCGAATTGACAAGAGAATGCTTTTTATATTAACCATGTTCGCTTGCCAAGTACGATGAGATTTCTTTAGATCGGAGAGTAGAAAATCGTCATTTATCAATGCTCACACAAAGCATTATGCTAATTTAAATTTACAGCAACTTCAATCCGCATCCGAAATCTGCAAGAACTTCTCAAAAGGTTCTCCTGTTTACTAACTCCCTCGCACTCGTAATCACTCCATTTTGGCATTTCGCTTGCAGTGTCCTACCCATCCTGACATCTAATGACTCTTTCTAAAACTCATATGGCCTCTGAGCCACGCATTAAATCAACCTGTGACAAGAAAATAAATTGCTGTCAGCATGATAGCGATCAACATTAGAAACAAACAAAATAACGATTTGAATTCCTGCAACAAATGTTCTTTTCTGTACACATTGCAAAATCCAGGAGTAGGGTGAATGCAATTTTGTAGCCGCATGAACAACTTGAAGGAATCTAATTAACGATCTAAATAAATGAAAAAATCTGAAAGGAATACCATGATTATTCCTATAGTGGGACGCCTCCACACGCAGTCCTTTAATGTCGGAGATAATTTTTTGCCGATCCCAATGGTTTGTTGGAAGGTCATTATATTTGGTTCTTAATATTTCGATCAAGTCTCCTGACGGAAAAAACGCCTTGTAAACCTGCAAAATAACCAATTATCCGCTTACGTACGCGTTAACTGCACATGCTCCTCAGACTGAGTCTGCACGTCTGTTAACACTTGGTAAATCCAACTGCGTCGACTTGCAGAATGCTGTGGCAATGACACAAAAACGAAGTTCTGGCAATAATACTCACATGCAATTAATAATTTCACCCAGATTTGAAACAAATCAAGTACACTGTTACAATCGCTTTCGGCAAGATGAAAAGCGTTTTGGACGATTTTTCCAACACTGGTGGTCATCCTGCATGCCTCTGATTTTAAAATTTGCATTCAAACGGTTACTTTGTATAGAGAACAATAACGGTGAAGCAAACAATACAAATGTCCTCTTGTTGGGCTTTGCCCATAACCAGAACCACTCACTCAAATAAACGGTACCTAACATTCCTTTTCTGACGCTACTCCCCACCTTCCCGCACTGTTTGAGTGTGCCCACTGATATAAGCGAAGAATGCCCTTGACCTGATGCGTCAAGGGCATTAACACAGGTCAGCCCTCAGTAGGTTGTCGTGGTGACTCACCCGCCTAAGTGGCGTGGCTGAGAGAGTCGCACATGCATTAACTCAATCCTAATCCACAATAAGCCGTCATGGGGAATACAGGAGCCCCAATACAAACAAATAAGACATCCTTTTTATCCTGCGTTAGTTCAACTCGAGTGGTCATCCTCCATCCCCTTGAATTTAACAATGAGTATTATCAAAATGGTGACTTACCATGTCAATGTTTATCCTCACTTTCCACTGAGGTCGCACACTAAACATGAAGCCAGAGTGGATATCCAAAAACATTTTGCTGTCATGCATGAAGCGATCACGATTGAACATGGCAGATCCGCCAAAGTTAGCGAGGGTTCTGCTGTTTACTGATTTCAGAAGAGTGTTAATCATGTGGATGGCTTCTTGTGGGATTTTCGATGTTTTGGCTTTGGGACTGTCGAGGTACTGGAAGATGTCCGAGGCTGAGATGCTGCCCAATTTCTTTATGCTGTACTCCAGCGTCAAAGCATCAGGATTAGGCGGGTCAGGCACGGTCTCCGTACGTGTGACGCCTTGCCTACCCACACCTTCCAACGGGGTCAATGAATACAACTGACGTCCACCATCGTAAAATGTGTCGATCGGATACCTTAAAAAACATTTAGTTTGTAATGCGATAACTGCAGACGTTCAGATGAATGCCACCAATGTTTGATGGGATCAAACGACTGTATTTATTTAACCGACATTGTGGCTAATTGAGAGGTGCACGATAGCTTGCAGATTTCAAGAACATACTGAGTGATAACTGCAAATCAGTTGAAAATATCGGCATCAAGTGACGGTTTTTTTGTAAATTATGCGAGTTATTAAAAAGTTTAGCTCTCATCCACATTTCATGGTAGTAAGCATTAGTATTTTACCTGCGGTTACCCCAACTAACCTTAATTCACGCCAAAGTTCTATCAGTTGTCCATCGTGAGATGACAGTGCAATCTACACCAATTAAAGGTGCACCATGTACATTTCCTCGTTTACATGATCGACGTGAATTTTTCATAGTTCGACCGCCTGCGGAAGCGAATGACAACAGCAATAATTCGTTAAGTACCATTAACCCAATAAGCTAATTGACACACCGCTTCCTACACTCGGCTAATTCGAATCTGGCTCCATACATCCCAGTTTAAAATATCACCAGAAAAATAGAACTGGGGACCCATGCTTGCATACACATGTCTAACATAGGCAATAATGATACCACTAGCATCTTTACATATCATTCTACAGACAACACGGTCAAAATGGCAACTACGTGCGAGTAATAGGTATGAATGTGTACATACCCTCTGATGACTTTCTTCAGTAACACATTTAGCAGATTTGGACTAGCACAAATGTCGATGTTTTGTTCACGGAATGCTCTGATTGGCCTCAAATCATACTTGAAGACAGATGCACCCGAGATATCAAAGTCCCAGCAGTTGACGCTCACCTTCACAACACGGCCAAGGGTACCTAGGCCAGGTCGGCTTGGTAGCTCACCTTTCTCAATCTTCTCTCTAAACGTAAATAAAGAAATGGTCCACAAAACAAATCAGTCAATTTATCATTACACGTGTGTGACTCAGATAAAGGCCAGCAAATTGATGCCTCTCGTGGGTAGCATTCACTTGGAAGCCAGCAAATGCCTTAAGCCGTCCCCTCGATGTAGTTTCCAGTGTAAAAGAAACAAAAAAGTCGTAGCTTAGCAACTGGTCACAGCATTTACATTTAATTGTTTTAGATTGCGCTGTTAACCAAGAAATGAGCAGACGTCGCTCGCACACGTCCCCTGTGGTGAAGGCAAACTTTTAGGTTGGTCCAACCTCCTCGATATCTCTGCTGCACGCAGCCTCGAGACGCCAATCAAAAGACAGAATTAGGATTTGTTGCTTTTCATTTCGTCACTGCCTAAAGTTCCTAGCTTCGGCCTTAGTGGAGATTTATGCAAGTAGAATAAGCAACAGTAAATTCTGCCTGAATCTCTGAAGTAGCAACTGTGTGATTGCGTCAGAGATATTCAAAAATCACGAGCCTATGGCAGAAGACAATGTGGCGGCCCCCGGTGCTTTTTTGTGAACCAAACAAGGGATGACGATATACACTGACATGACCCGACCGAAAAAAGGGTGAAAATGCAGATAGCGCGTAGCCCAACTAATTAAGTGATGCAATATTGATGTTTGTTGTGGGGGATAGATAGTGGGTTTATGTAGTTTCGTTAAGCATAGATCTCTGAACGAACATAATTACGTGAAGTGTCTTCAAGTAAATCGACTGAATCTGTTGTGAATCGTGGTTATTCAATCTCTTAATCCGATCACTTCGCCTCCGACACAGGGCTCCCCTTTTTCGCAGAATGACGCCAACCGCTCAAATCCTTAACTCTCCCTTCATTCACAAGTATATGTCTCTTGGATTAACCTCACACCTAGATCTCGATGTTAGCACATGTATGACTCACACATCCAAGGCATAAATACGCACGCACAAACCCCACAAAAAGAACCACGTCTTCGTCAAGTCCTCGAATAAACGTTTGACTCTCTGTCCTTCCACCGACTTCATCTTTATTGGGCAACTCGTGATATTAGGTATCCCAACAAATCGTGATCGCTCACGCTTGGGAACTGTGTTCGCTCACGATTGCTAACTGTGCTTGCTTGCTGCTTTCCCCAACAGATTATTGCCTGGGATAGAAACATGACTTGGTCGAAAATGAAATTTTTGGTAAATGCAACAACTGCATGGATGAAAATCAGTCCACTTCAGGGCCAGTGAACTTAAATTACTCGTTTATAGGCGAGGTAACGCCTGTTGGGTGACGCGTCTTTAGCAGCATTTCAGCCATTTATATGCTAAAGAAATGCCACCAACGCAGCCACTTCGGTATTAATTTTGTGTCACAAATACCATACCTATCTCTAACCAAAAGCAAGGCAACGAATGGCTCGTTTAGTCTCACACTGAAATGCGCCCTACAGCTGCAAACACTGCAGCAAAGACTTTATTATTGTGTTGAACAAACATAAACACACGTCAACCATTAGGCGCCAGCAAGCATGCTAACAATAATTAAGACTACATTTTTAACATTAGAGGCAATATTATCTCTGACTTAGGAAAGCCCAATTTCCAAAAATTGGAGCGGCGTCTAATACTACACAACATTCGAGCTATTCAAAGAAATACTTGCTTCTCCGTGAATTTTCAAATATCGACCCGCTTTTAATTGGTTACCGCAATGATTAACACCGTTTTAGTATTTAGAGCCAGTTATAAAACAGTATCAGAATTTCTCATTACCTGAATTTTTCCTCTACCTCCGGGGCAATTTTGATGACATCGTCTTCACCACCGCCTTCCGTCCCACTTCCACTGCCACTGGCTTTCAATGACTGTGGTGTGACAACTTCTCCTTCTTCCCTACTTCTACCGTCGGTCCATCTAAAAGCCCAAAAATCGCTGTGGATTGCAAACCGCAGCACTTCCACAAGCTACAATAGCAGAACACCCAAATACAACGATGAAACTTATAAGCCTAGCATGTTTTCCAAGAAAAATATTTGGACAATAATATTTGTGACTTCAATTCCAGTGCATGAAAGAATCAAAGATTAGCCTGCTCCGTTATTTTAGTTAGACAGGGATGGCCTGTGACCTAATTTTTATCCTAGTAAGCCGCTCACTATTATTCAAATAGGATAACATTTAAAATGACACCTTAAAGTTGATGAGTGTAAGGACCAATGCTTACAGTGGAAGAAATGGAGAACGATAACGTTGGTCACCGCGACTGTGACCTGTGACACCTCGAACCTCCGAGCCGCCACCCCCTTTGTTTATTCGGTCTTGATTCCTCCCTCGACTTCTTCCACTTCGGTCTCGAAAATCGCATCCACCTCGTCGAACAACGTCTCGTAAATAATCTAGATATTTGGGATCCCGCTTTTTGAGACCATCGTCTTCTGTGCCACTACTGTCTCCACCGCGTCCGATTTCACTGCAAAGAAAGCTTTCAGCACATTAACCAAAACTCGTTCTCGCCTATTCAGTTTTCCACAATCAATCCTCAACAACACATTTCTGCATTGGATAAGTGTAAGTAATATGAAAATAAATCAAAAATGGATATATTTACGCATTCCTTGTATGTGTGCCCAGCAGTCAGCCTTCGATGCATAAAAGCACCGTAACCGACTTCCCCCAAAGTCTCATTCTGCCTATCAGGCTTGATATCAATTTACACGGTGATATCTGACCACGTGCCACAGCACTCGACTACC